ATATTTAAACAAATTTTTATTAAACTTGTAATACAAAAAATGTTTGCAATTATCAATGTAATCAATCAACTGGGTAAGTAAGGTGATAACTATTAGTTAATATTTTTACCCTATTCACCTGCAGTGTCTCGCCTTAAAAACAATATCAAAAAGATAAAAACCACTAAAACACTATAAAATATAACCATCCCAAGAAAATGTCTCCATTTCTGTAACCACTGAATTGCAGTTTGCTGTGTTTTAGCGGCTGTTTCTTATATTACAGGTGCCTGATGTTTTGAGCGTAATCAAAAGCTCCAACTGATGCACCACAGATGCCTCGCCTGCTACCTATCGCCACGGCAACAGATGCCAATTTCCTTATTTATGACATCATAAATTAATCTCTGTGAACTCAAATTTGAAGAAAATCTGCTTCTCTTTCCACTTTCAGACACAACACATGCCATCAAAAACAACACAGACGAGTGGAAATAATCTCAGTAAACAGCACAAGTCTTGTGTGCTTCCACCACATTACTGGAAAATACATTTCTAGAAGTCTCAAGAGGCTTTGAAATGCATTTGTATTGTTTGTGAGAAGGATGTCATGATGATTCAATAGAGCAGAGAGGATGTCAAACACATATGATGGATGAAAAACACATGGAAACAGTGAGGAAAGGATGTGAAAGGTAAAAGTGAATATTTTGTAGCCTTTAAATTGATTTGTTAGTGACTGTACATGCCCTGTCTGTCTCAAGAGGGCTGAGAACACAGAGAGAAACAGAGAGACAGAGATCCAGAGGTGCTGATGGGAGGGAGGGAACGAGTCAGATCCTTAAAGGAAGGACGGAGGGAGGAAAAAACATGACCTACTTCTGTTACATCCCTTGTTTCTATGGAGAACGAGAGGAGAGAGAAGTGGAAAAAGTAGCAGGAGGGCAGAATGTTTTTTCAGAGAGAGAGAGATGTGGCCACAGAAAGCACTAGCTAATAACTTATTTTATGTATTTATTTATTTATTTTTGTAAAGTGAACTTGTGGGTATAATGCAAAGTTAAAATGTATTAAAATGTAATATGCTACATTGTTGTCACCTGAATTTACAATGCATGTGAGTGGCATCTATCATACATATATTCTAAAAATTTCTATATCAAACAATCAAATAGCTTATCAAATATTATTCATATATTAAAACAAAATGTGTTTAAAATAACACTAACTTATATAAAAACACTATAAAAATAATAATAAATAACAAAATAACTATAAAAAATAATATATATAAATAAAATAAAAAAATCCTGAAATATAAATCAAAATCCTACATTTTATATTAATCAGGGGTGGGTGATATGACCAAAATCTTATATCAGGATATGAGTAATTTTATTTCTCGCTAACACAATATTTTTGCTTTAAACAAGTTCTTTATGATATAAAAATGTTTGATACCATAGAAATTTCATAATTCTTGTCACCAATGTCAATATAACAAAAAATAAAAATATATATATATTTATTTATTTATATATTTATTTATTTATTAGCCTAAACAAAAAAATGAAGACAAATAAACAGTCAGCAACTAAAAAAAGAATGAGAAACTAAATACAAGCAATAGGACAAAAACTACAGTAGATCAAATAAATAAGAAATGCTACACACACTGTATAAAGTAATCAAATGTATAAAAACAGTGCATATTCATCACTTTGTAAATTAAATATATATTTCTTCTTCTTAAAGTTACAAAAGTGATTTAGTCAAGAGCAGTGAGAAATTTTCTCTCTTTTGTTGTTTGATTAACATGAATGACAGACAGCAGGAATATTAGACTGCTGTCACTTTAAGAGATGCCTCTTATGTGATTTTTTTTCTTTCACATAAATTACTTTGTTTTTGACACATACATGTGTGTATTTAACCGTTCAAGGTTTATAAAGCGGCAAAAATAACTCCGTAAAATACTCCCGCGCTCTATGAGCACCATCTTCATGTGTACGCATCTCTCTGACAGTGCTCAGAAACAGTCTCTCAGACAGTGCGCATATAGCGAAATTAATTCTCTTTCACTGCTGAATGCATTTCAACGGTTTAAAATCACTTGTTTTTAAACCGCAATGCTTAAAAACGAGTGCAAACGATACGTTTTTGTGACAGGTAGCACAGCAACGTCACGTGAACTTGTAACTGCAAAATCTCTACTGGTTGACAAATTTCTACCGGTTAATCATATCTCTAATCCTAAAGATTATTATATCAAATAACATATATTAAAAATTGATGCACCTCACTGGAAATAAAAGGTCTGACAGCACTGCATTATGGGATACAGTATTCCGTACAATGTGTATTTTAACAAATGCAGTAGATCTTCCATATAGTCTGTTCATACAGAACATTTGCACACTGTGCACAGTATAATGCAGCCATAGAGTTGTAAAATATGTTAGTATGTTATTCTGAACGATATTTTAGTAATGGTGCAGAAATTACACACTGCATCTTTAAACAGCCACCTTTAGCTTGGTTAAATGTGTTTTACAATTACAGACTCAAATGGATGTCTGGGTTAAGCAGTTTATGCAGCCTAACATTAGAGCTTTTCAAGAAATCTGATCTAAAACGAGACTCTCTAGACATAACTTTATATGATTTTGAAGCCATGTTTCTGCTTAGCTTGATGTCATCCTGCAGTTCTGCCATGTTGTTCATAATGTGGTTATACATCGATCACCTTGTTAAGACGAGAGAAATGAGAAGAGTAATTTACGCACATTAACATGTCACACACCTGCTGTGAGTGGGAGCTATCTGAGGGCGCTGTGCTCATAATGTGTCTCTCTTTCTCGGTTTTCTTCTTATCCCCTATCTCTGAGAAGCATTGAAACATTTCCAAGAAAAGGGACATTTCAGCATTCACAATAATAGCGCAGGCAAAAAGGACAATGTCCCTTTCCGTCTCTCTCTCTGCTATCTTTGTTCCACCCGCTCTCTCTTCTATCACTCTCTCTTATGTTGTTTTGGTGTTCTTCTTTGTTTGGCACATGTTCTGCTCAGTAGAAGAATGAAGACTGCTGCAGGAAGAAGTCTGCATTAACATAACAATCCCTCCAGGGATGAGATCTGATTAACGGCAGGGCATCGCTGCATAACAGAGACATTGCACTCGGGAGCCTCACTCCTTGCCTTTGTACAGGATTTTCTAATAGTCAGTTATGGTGTGTTTTATTCAAGCAATAGATCAGGTTGGAGTTTAAAAACTGGGGCTAAAACCAAACACTGCTCAAGCAGACCACTGTCTCACCAAAAACAACAACATCAAATGCTTTCTCCTAGTCAACAGCTCAACAGATAATGATTGAGAGTTAAAGAGTTAGTTGCTTTTTGCAATCGTCTAACACTTGCTACTACATCTAAATATGCTAACAGTTATGCTAACAGTTTTGCTAACATCTACTCAACAAACAGATATGTATTGTAACAGTCAGATATTCATTAGATATTATTACAATTTAAAACAACTATAGACATTCACCATAAGTTACTACTCCACTCTTAAAAATAAATGTGCTTCACGATGCCATAGAAGAGCCTTTTTGTCTAAATGGTTCTATAAAGAACTTTTAACATCTGAAGAACCTTTCTGTTTCACAAAGGGTTCTTTGTGGCGAAAGAAGGTTCTTCAGATTATAAAAAGGTAAGAAAGAGATGGTTCTTTAAAGAACCTTTGACTGAATGGCTCTTTGTGGAACCAAAAATGGTTCTTCTATGGCATCGCTTGAAGAACCTTTTGAAGCACCTTTATTTTTAAGAGTGTACATCCAAAAGTGCTTACAGTTACTACAACAGCAACTCAAAACAGACACTAACACAGCAGCGGATATTTAGCAAAACAGTCACTACAACAGCTAAACATGCTAACAGTCGCAACTACAGCTACTTAACCATTTGCTGAAATAAATGTCATTTGAAAGGAAGGGTTAGACAACAGAAATATATTTAGTATAATCATATATGAAACAATTAAAAATACTGTTCACAAGTTCGGGTTTGTATAACTTTTTTAATGTTTTTGACAGAAGTCTTTTATGCTTACCAAGGCTTAATTTATTTGTTTAAACATACTGTAAAAACAGAAAATAGTGAAATATCATTATAATTTAAAATAACTGTTTTCTGTTTAAATATATTTTAAAATGTAATTTATTCCTGTGATGACAAAGATGAATTTGCAGCATTACTCCAGTCTTCAATGTCACAAGATCCTTCAGAAATCATTCTGTTTGTTGATTTACAGCTCAAGAAATATTTTTGTATTATGATTATCAGTGTTGAAAACAGTTGCTAAATATTTTTGTGGAAACTGAAATACTTTTTTTCAGGATTTCTTTGGATAAAGTTCAAAATAACAGCATTTATTTTAAATATAATTTTTTCAACATTATAAATGTTTTACTGTCCCTTTTGAGCAATTTAATGCATCCTTGCTGAATAAAAGTATGCAAAAATAAAATCTTACTGACCTCAAACTTTTGAACAGTAGTGTGTACACTATCTGTGTTATAATAAAAAAAAATAGGTAGATTGTATTTAAACATGACTAGGAAATTCGTCCACTATAACAGGACACTTCTCGTTTTATATGTATGATATTTGCCATAAACAAGACCTATCAACACACAACAAACCTTACATCTAAACAAAGTGTGAAAAACACATGAAGTATCAAGTATGCAAAAATAAAATCTTACTGACCTCAAACTTTTGAACAGTAGTGTGTACACTATCTGTGTTATAATAAAAAAAATAGGTAGATTGTATTTAAACATGACTAGGAAATTCGTCCACTATAACAGGACACTTCTCGTTTTATATGTATGATATTTGCCATAAACAAGACCTATCAACACACAACAAACCTTACATCTAAACAAAGTGTGAAAAACACATGAAGTATCCAATCAGACGTCATTATTCATGTTGGAGAAGACTAGAGGACTTTAACTTACCCTGTTAAAGCGCTTGGCCTGGAAGAGGTGTCCGTTCACCCGGTACAGCTTCCTCCATCGTCTAGCTCCACGGCGGTAGATCGATTCTAGGAGAGAGAGGAAACGGTTGTATAGGAGCAGCATGAAGACTCGAGGAATGAAAAAAATCAATCCCAACACGGAATGAGAGGAGTGGATTCAAAGAGAAGTGACAGAATAAGGGAGATGGACAGAGTTATGGTTGGTCTTGACCCTGAACGTAGATGGATTTGAACTGCAACTGGATGAAAACATGTCCCACTCAAAAGCCACGGAAGAACGCTATCAATCCCTCCCTCTCTCTTGCTCTCTTTCGTTGCGTCCCTGTCTCCATCTGACCCACCCTCCTCTTCTCACTCTCTCTCATTTCTTTTCTCTAGTCGTTCTGTTATTCCCTGCAGCATCATTTTGGTCACGTCAACTGTCTAACGCAAAAAGTGACAAGCATCTACATTGACCTAAATTGATTGAACTAGAATGAGATTTTGATCTGCTGCCGAGGGGTTTGTTTTTATGTCTCACCACCTTGACAACACGAATGACAACCTTTTTGGTAGGTTTCTGAGCAGACCTGACAGACCAAAATACTGACTGCATCTGAATTCACACACTGTAAATATTATTGCCTAATTTGTGTGTCCAAAATAGAGCGCTGAAATAGTATGCCAAGGTTCTCATGTCAGTCCAAACCTATATGACATTCTGTGGAACAAGATATTATGATCCATGTCTTTGTCACAATGAAAGTCAATGGGGTCCTAAATAATATTTATGGACACTTTTCAATATTTTTGACAAAGTCATGCAGGTTTAGAACAACACGAGAGTAAATGATGCCAGAATTTTCATTTTTATAATGTTAAGTATCACCTTAAAAAAGGAACTTCGCTGATTTTCAGTGTCGGTATTATAAGTAAATGTGTATTATTTTCCAGTGTCACCTTCACCAAGATATCCCAAAGTTAAATAAATAATGTTATTTAAACTCTTTGAAAGACAAACATTGTCCTCACTGGTGACCCACAGGTACCTCAGATAGCCCTATTTCTCTCTGCTATTATACTCTTATCTAATGTTCCAGTAAAGATGGCAGACCATCATCATTTTCAAGCATAAGGGAGAGGCTGAGAATTGTGCTCGAGCCCTGGAGATTTGCTGTGTCTGCTGCCGTTTCATGCTTCTGCCCTCAACTGCAGCTCAGTTACGTAAAACCGATAAATATTGAAATATTGTCGAAACTTTCAAGTGTCAGCCACTAATGAGCACCGGAGGAGATTCAAAGGCCTGGGACGCTTGTGAGTATGAGAGAGAGAGATCTAAGCAAAATGAGAAAATGAAAGTCTGCATTAAGCCTTCAGAAACTAATGTGTGGCATACAGTATTGCTTGAATATTAAAACATGACTCCAATAATAATATACATTCAGCTTTGGAGTGTACTAAACCTAAAATGTAAGAGTAAAACAACACTCATCGCATATACACCACACACACACACACACACACACACACACACATTCATGCATTCAAAGTGCCTTGCATCTAAACTACACAACATGAATGATTTATTAATAGAACATGATAAAGCTGAAACTCACACAGTGTTTCAGAGGAATAACTGATGCCCCAACAAAGCAGTTAAACATGAGGAGAGGAGCAGAGTTTTAAACTTTAACATCAAACCACATGAGGCTGGCTTGGGAAAAACAGTTACTGTCATTGTTTTATATGGGCAAGACAAAATGTTCTATCTTTTTCTGGGTGGATTATATAATACAAGGAAAATCTTGGACAAAGAATATCAAAGAACACATGAAAACAAATCAGAATCTTGTTCCTGAAGAACCATGTTCTTGTCATTGGTCAGAAAAACAGATGGACCTGCCTCAAACTCTCACCATTGGTTGAACCAAATTTAGTGCTGTCTGTCAGGCTGGTTAAACAGACGGAGTTACTTCTGATAGTGCCACAGAGCCACGGTTTTGACACCTTCATAAACCTATTAATTAATCATTTAATTACAGCTTTATCTGCATATTAAGCCAAGAGAGGATAAAAAATTACAAATTTCATGTCTGGAAGTGATGCCCAGTTATAGGTACAATAAAATACTAAAACGTCCATCGGTATTTATATCAATTAATATTCAGCATCTTGGCCTGCCTTGATGTTAGTTTTCATATGCCAAAAGTTTAATGCATTCAATCATAAAGATCACTACCATTCAAAATTTGGGGGTTGGAAAGATTTTCTCTTTTTCTCACCAAGGCTGCATTTATTTCATAAAAAAAAATTGTGAAATAGTATTATGATTTAAAGTAACTGTTTTCTGTTTTGTTGAAATATAATTTATTCCTTGTGATGACACTTGTGCTGATTTTTTTTCTTATGATTATCAATGCTGAAAACAGTTGTGCAGCTTAATATTTGTCATACAACCATCACATATTTTTCAGGATTCTTTGCAAAACAGAAAGTTTAATTTATTTGAAATACACATTTTGTAACATTATAAATGTATTTAACGTCACTTATAACCAATTTAATTCATTTCAATAAATTTTTTACTGACCCTACATTTTTGAATGGTAGAGTACATATCTTATATCTTATTAAAGATCTTAAATATAATAGCAATAACACCTGTAGTGTAAGACTACTTTATGACTTTTTCACCTGAAGTCCAAAGTGGACTTAATACGTGAAAAAATGCTACAGAAATATTGAACATGGCACATTAAAAATGTATATATTTCTTAGCTGATTTTCTCCAACAAATGTTTGAAACAGCCAGACTCTACCTTACACTCTACCTTCTTCCAGCAAACAAAACAATTCACAATGTTCCTCTCCTTCAACAAAGCAGTGACAGACCTCAACAGAACTACAAACGATCATCCCCCTCACAGAGCACAGCCCTGCTGCAACTCAAGAACAGCTGCTCAGGAAACAGCTACGTGTTTGCGATCATAATCATCCAGATGGCCACAGAAACACCTGTTCTTCGACCTGTATATGTCTGAATCTCAGCTTGACATCTTGGCTCAGAAACTGGCCACACAACAATGCTTCATTTCTGAAAGACAGCTGAAATCATGTATTTTGTTATGATCTACAGTACCTCAGTGAAGTCTTTCCTCTTAATTGTCACAGTCGGAAATGGCCTCATAAAGTCCTATAAACCAAAGCAACTGTAAATGTAAACTTGGCTCCGACTTGCACTGGAAAACTTGGCAAGGTTGCCACATCTTTCAAGACATGTTAATGATTTTGAGTCACAATAATGCATTCAAGTGATTCACTCATGAAGGAACTGCTTTTAAAGCCTCTACCACGCTTGAGTGAAGTGGAGCTGATACCAATCGCCTGGAAACGGCCTGGTTGAGGGTGCAGCAGGCACAAATTAAATTTTTCCATCATCGTCATGGCAACAAACACTCTCTCCTGTGCCACCCCGTGGCAGATGCCAGCAGCTCTGGTGGACGAGGATCCGGCCGTGAGAGTCAATACTCAGACAAACACACTATGCAATAATAAACTGAACATCCAGCAATGTCTACAACAAAAACAAAACACTTTGCCAAATGTTGTGCAACAAAATGCATCACTGACAACACTGTGAAGCGCAAAAACAGGCATCAACGGAGGAACATCAAAAATAAGAAGTAGAAGCTCTAGTTTTAAAACTAGACGCTTCTCTGAGCTCCATTAAATCGGAGGAGTCTCTGTTATATAAGCGGGTTGGTTTGTAGATATTTGCATCATAACTGCACATTTTTTCATTCCCTGTAGCTTTAATTGGTAAAGCATGCCGCTTACAATGCCAAGGTCATCGTTCGAGTTGCAGAGAACACATAAATCGACAAGGTTTGTCTTGAAAGTCGCTTGGGATAAAAGCATCTGCCAGATACAGAAATAATTCTCCAGTAGAATGTGATGGAAAAACACAAAAGCTGTATAACTGATCTTTCTCTCTTCTCTTTCTGTACAAAAAGAGCTGGATCTACACACGTCTTCTCAAATCTGAAAGTGTTTGATCTTGCAAAACATTCGTAGGCCTCAGACAGCATCAAATCATCAAAAACAAACACTAGACCACTGTTCTGAATAGACTGCATTAATGCAAACTGAACACAGTACAGTACCAAAACAGTTTATTGACCAAAAGTAAACAAAAAATGTCATCAAATTTATTATGAATTTTTATTTATACTATGATGAACTGATTTTTGCCAATATGCCAAATTATTGACATGGCACAACTGACAATTTTGTAAATGTATAAATAATTTCAGACGTGCGAACACTGGGCTAAATAATGTATTAGTATTTGCCAGTTTAGCAAGTAACATAAGTTTACAGCTGAATATACAGTGTGCGTGTGTGTATACATGCATACTGTATATATAGCTGTAAATATCTGTCACTTGCTAATATATGTGTATATATTATATACACATAGGGGTGCACGATATGAAAATCTTATATCACAATGAGTAATTTTATTTCACAGTAACAATATACATCACAATATAGTTATTTTTGCTTTAAATAAGGTCTTTATGATTCCAACATTTTTGATACCATAGAAATGTCATAATTCTTGTCAGCAGTATCAACAAATATAGAAGGAAATAGGAAAATATTAGAGAAATAAAACATTAAAAACAAGGGTTAAAAACTTAGCATTTCTTATGTTTTTTTTTCTTTTAGTATTTATTGATCCTTATTTATTTCAATTACAGTTTCTGAATGTTATTTACATATAAAAATAGCTTACATATAGTATAATGTTATTAATGTATAATTTTGAATGGAAACTAGTTTTTACCGTTAGTATACGTGAAGCAAAAGAAGTTAGAATGAAGGATAAATTAAAATTCATAGCATTTAAACAAGTTCTGCTCGCGTATTTGAAGGTTTCTATTGGATGATTTGGGGTAAACGTCATATGCGACCACGCATTACTTTACGGAGAGCTTACGAACTACTACCTACGTCCTGCCTTACGAACAACTGGTGCAACCAAATAATGTATAGATTTAGTTACAGACTAGCTACTAAGCCTC